ACATAAAATATTTTCCTTTTGTTTTTCACTCTCCTTCTAGATCATATGTAGTATGATTCATCTCAAAAAACATTCAGTATAAAAGTCTTTTGAGAATATATAGTTCTTATTCCCTTTTGGGGGTCTCAATGGGTAGCCCTTTGGCTCCCATTTTGGCCAATTTGTTTATGAATGAATTAGAGAAAGAAATTGATAAGTATACGGGTAAAAAACCTGAAATTTACCTACGTTACGTTGACGATATCTTTTCTATTATTCATGGCACTCAAAAAGATATTGCCAAGTTTGTAAAATTTATGAATAAATTAGATCCATCTATTAAATTTACAGTTGAAGTTCAAAATAGCAATAAACTACCGTTTCTGGATGTAATGATAGAGCGAAAGGCACAGGAGTTGATTACCTATGTTTACCGAAAGCCTACTGATACTGGATTGTATTTAAAATAGACTAGTAATCAGCCAAGGAATTATAAAATCAATTTGATAAAATGTCTGTGTACTCGGGCTAAAAGAATATGTTCATCAAATGAACTATTTGAAAAAGAATTAGATTATTACGTACATATTTTTCATACAAATGGTTATCCGTTGAACATAGTAAAGAAGACGATACGAGGAATTAGATTAAACAAGACTGTACAAAAACCTATTCAGCCTAATCTAAAACGATACTATTTCTCTATGCCTTATTATGGAGAACGCTCATTAATCCTGGCAAATCAATTGAAAAGCTTCTTTCTCATCCGATGAAAATGGTGACTTTCGGCTTTAAAGCAGGATATACTCTCTCTTCTGTGTTTAGACGAACGTATAAGAACACGATCAATGAGAATAGAGTAGTGTATAAGTATGACTGTTGTGGCTGTTTTAATACCTATATTGGGCAGACGGCGAGAGGAGAGAAGAAAAGAAAAGAAGAACATCAGCAAGCATTTTATGGGCAAGGTTTCTCAAGGATAGCCATTCATGGGTTGGCAAGTGGACATAGAACTAATTGGAATTCAGGAATACTCGCTATAGAATCTCATAAATTAAAGAGAGAGATAAAAGAGAGTCTACTCATGGACATTCATACAAAAAAGGGAATAAGAACTATATATTCCCAAAAGACTTTTATGCTGAATGTTTTTTGAGATGAATCATATTACATATGACCTAGAAGGAGAGTGAAAAACAAAAGAAAAATATTTTATGTTCTACACGTGTTTTATTGTGTGTTTCTATGTTAGAAGTTATTTTTTGTACATCAGTTGACTGATGTCTTTAGAATAAAGACGAAACGTCTCAATTTGAAATGATGATTTCAACATGTAAAAAGGTGATTTTAATCTTGATTTCTGCCATAAATACAAGAATATAAATTATTAGCATCCTTTTTGAATAAATTTTGACCCGTTACAGATTCGACTGAATTATCTAAGAGATGAATCTTTTTATGATAAATAATGTATAAACTCAAATCTACTCAGGATATAGACTTAATTAGATTAATATAAAAAAAGCTTATTTTAAATTTGTCTATATGAGAATAGTCTAAAATGATATGTTTCTTTTATCTATCATTTATTTAGGCTTTACAAAGACGAAAAGTTGGTTATACATACGATATTAGTACGTCAAGTCAAAATTATTACAAAAATCGTTATAAAGACGTCTTACCATACGATCAAACACGTGTAATACTTAAAAATTGCAATGATACAGATTATATTAATGCAAGTTTCATAAATGTGAGTATTTAAAAATCGAAAAAATCAATCGATACATTAATAAAAGTATTTTTTAATAACTATTTAGATGCCGATTACAACAACTGATGTGGTTAATCGTTATATAGCAAGTTAGTTTTATCGACTTATTATTGACATTTAAGTGAACATTCCACTAGAGATCAAAACGAGTTGTGTAGTATACAAAAATTATTTAATAATTCAGATTCAGAATTGAATCTTGAATAATTTAATAATTTTATATAATTCATAAAAACATAAATATTGAGGAGTTTTGGTTTATTTATCATAATTTGAACATACAAGTATTCAGTGGAGAATAAAATTTTACAGATTTGATTTAAGAAAAAGTTTTTGCAACAAAAAAGTTGATCTATTGAGTCAAATTTTTTTTGTTTTATTATTTTTAGAAAAAATTGATTATAGAATTTGAGTTAAAGATTTTTTATCCGATTCAATCTCTAATGTGCAATCTTGGGGATTTTTATCGATTCAATCTCCGCAAGAATAGAAGTTCACCCTATATTAGAAGGCTGATTAGAAGACCACCTCTAAGACTATTCTGTAAAATTCATATTAGAAGACCATGACCTTCTAATACGACCATGCCACATTTTTCGAAAACGTTTCATCATTTGATTTCTAGAAACCGTGAAATTATGCATGGCTTCGGTCTTAACTCTTGGAATTTTCTCATTTTCGCAGCGAGGAGTTGTGACAGAAGTAGAGCGTATGACTCTTCTTTGTTAATTATCTCGTCTATGGTAGAAGAGATATCTGAGATATCTCGATAGAAGTTCTATCGAGTAACCCTAAACATCGAACATAGAGAAGTGTAATCTATTCAGTCATCGCGATCAATTGTATCAGATCAATAGAAACTATACAATAAGTATATTAACCCTCATAATTGATGTCGATGAACAGGAGGTGTCAGAAACGCAGAGAAGAGGAAAAATTCAATAGCAACGAATATACAGCAGCTTAATTGTATAACGAACTTTCATATGACTATTTTCGGCTTGCAAAGCTTCGGAGAGGTAAAGACAGTCTAAAATCCGAATTCTCAGTTGTTGAGTACGCTAGGCACCAATTAGTTAACTGTTGTGAAGCGAAAAAATCATTATTCTAAGCTTTTTACGAGTTTCGAAAACTTTTGGAAAATTTTGGTTGGAAGGTCGAATTAGAAAGCCATCCCTAATAGAAGGCCATCCTAAAAAGTTTGATCTGTTGGGACACAGTAGAAGGCCATGCCCTTCTATTCTGAGTGGGAGTTTACGATAACATTTAATTTATTTCTAGCTCAAGGTCCATTGCCAAGCACATGTGAAGCATTTTGGAAAATGATTTGGCAAGAAAATTGTTCATTATTAATTATGTTGACAACATTATACGAAAGTGGCCGTGTAAAATGTCATCAATATTGGCCAAATATTAATGAAATAATTGATTATGGTACATTTACAATTAAATGTCGGCGAGAAACAAAAGAAAATTTATTACTATACAGAGAATTTACATTTATACATAAAAAAGTAAAAATAGTATATAGAATATTCATAGATGTATTTTATAAAATATTATCTATTTTCAGTTCAATGAGGAACGTACAATATTTCAAATACAATTTGAAACATGGGCCGATCATGGTATTCCATCGGATTATTCAACATTTATTGATTTAGTATTTCAAATACGTGACCTTCGACGAAACAAACAAGTACCAGTTTTAGTTCATTGTAGCGCTGGTATTGGAAGAACAGGAGTTTTGATTCTAATGGAGACGGCTTTATGTTTCATTGAGAGTGGCCAGCCTATATTTCCAATTGATATTGTTAAACAAATGAGAGATCAACGAATGGGAATGATTCAAACTACTGTAAGTAATTCTTTTTGGTCTGATATTTTCACTGATGCATCATTGAGTAGAAAATACGAAAGAATAAGCAAAACAAACTTTGTTTGAAATAACTTTGTAGAATTAAATCATACGTCATTTCATAAATATTTCCTTTATTTTTAGAGTCAGTTTCAATTTGTTTGTAATGCAGTATTGTACGCATACGAAAATGGACTTGTAAACGTTTGTAGTTGATTTGTACATAAAAAATAAATAGCTCAATCCATTTTTCAATTAAAAGAGTCTCAACTGGCAAATTTCAGATATCTATTTACAAGAACAAAATTTTATTTATTTATTTTTTTTTTGTCAAATTTCTAGCTCAAAGATAATGTTTTACGTTTTCTTCTTTGTTTTTGTCTACAATTGTTGTTTTTGTTCACTACACACTGTTTTTCCCCTCTTGTTCATGTTAACCATTTAACTTTTTGAAATCTGATATAAATTGATCTTTGATGTGTTAAGTAATTTATTGTGCAAAGCCAAAAACTGTGCAACAAAAGTGTAAAGAGATATTTGAGACTATTAATCACTACTAAAATGTACTTTTTTTTATATAAATAAATTTTTTTACACTCTTTCGGAACAGTTTTTATATATGACCACTCATATATTTTTTGTTCATATTTCTCTTTTCTCTTTTGTTTCTTTCGTAACTTATCAATGATCTGTTTCATTTTTTTTCATAATATTCTTTGGTAGCACTTAGCATAGCAACGTTATTTGTACATTATCTTTTTGAGTGAATTTTGATGTTTCGTTGTTTTCCTTCAATGTTTAATAATTTTTGTCTGTTATTTACGATTTTTCAAACATAAAACAAAGATATCATCTGACTAACTGTAGTCAATGTGTACACATTTAAAATTCAATAAACAGGATGATACAGTTTGTAGGATTCTGAAGCTTAGAGTACTGATTCTTTAAATCTGAATAGAATCAGTATATTTTATTAAAGTCTTGCAGTAAACGAAAAGTGTGTCCGAGAATGGAGGTATGTTATAAACAACGTATTTGTTAAATATCAAGGTATGATGAGAAATGACGAGGAAATTTTTCTTTTCAACAGAAATTGTGAAGAATTATCTCATTTCTGTGTTCAATACTAATTATGAATATATAAATATAGTTCAGTTCATGGTAACCAATGTTGTTTTAAGAAAATTAAGAAAGTTTTCAAGTTCTCTATGAGCGAATAAGTGCAAAAGGGTGACAGATTTTTCCTACTTTCGCCTTGTAAAAGACATTTCTATGTAAGTTTTTAAGATTTGATAAGAAGTTGGCCTTCAATGTCTTCCTAGTTTCATTGCAGAGCGTTTTCAATGTCATGTACTTTTGGTTAATTTTCTCAGATTGTTTCAATCATTTCGCCACTAAAAGGAATTAATTTATTAGGCGAGCTTTGAAATATTGTTTTATTGACAAACAAACGTTATTCAAATTATAGATGTAATATAACGTTCAAGAACATTAATGTGTTTTACGTTCTTATTCTCTAATTACAAATTATTCTTTGATGTCCATCTTGCATAAATTATTGATACAATCTCGTCCAATGTATGAGCAAAACTCTCATTTTAATACTCTATTATGTTCCCACAACTGTCTATTATCGTTAACGGATCGTACAATTTTCTTGTTACAAAATATGGAACGTTTCATTCAAAATAGACGATATGCAAGTACAGATAACACAAAACAACAAGATCATTATGGTGCTTTGGGTGTATCATCGTCAGCAACATCGAAGGAAATCAAAGGAGCCTATTATAAAATGTCGAAAAAATATCATCCTGATGTGAATACAAATGATACGAATGCAGCAAAAAAATTTACAACTATAACTGAAGCATATGACACATTAAGCGATCCAAATAAACGGCGTGAATATGATAGTCATCGATATCCAACATACGACAGAACGAGTCCCTATGCACAACGAGCTAGAGGAAGTCGACCAGCACCACCATGGGCATCAACAGCACGATCATCTACTACTACTTCATCAACATCCACCGATCAGAGTAATTATTCCGACTTTTGGACTGACTATAGATCTAAAATTAATCAAAATACTAATGGATCGCCAAAATTCGGCACATATCGTGGTCCATTGCCCCGCGGACGAACGTCTGTTTATGATTTTGATGAATTTTATCGTCAACATTATGGAAATTTACGTGATCGTAATAATACAACACAACAAGAACAATATCGTCGTGAATGGCAAGAACGTGATCAAGAATTTTGGAAAGAGCGTACATTTAAACGAAGTAGTAAATTGCTACAAGGATTGATTATTGGTTTATTTGGAATATTTTTTATATTTTTTACGCACTTAGTTCACGAACAGACATTTCATAAACAAGATTATTCAACGGAAAATAAAGACAATCAACCATTAAAACTCTACATTGTCGTACCCGATGAACCACAAAAGAAATCCTGATATTTATGAAATCCTGTTCATTATTTGCATATAAAATGCTAGGTATAATTCTGTCGGCCAATTCGTCGAATTAAGACACACAAAGTGTTTTGAGTTCTCTAGAACAGTTTGGTACGAATGAAATTTGAATAATGGATATAAAATAATAAAGAAATAAAGAAAGGAACATGCTGATGCTGGAAGATGTTTCTAGTTTAAATAGTTTGAAAACGTCGTTTTTATTTGTGTATTAGTTTATTAGTTTTGATTATCATCTAACTAAGCATCGTTGTTTTCGGAAGATTTTATTTATTATGGAATGGTAAGCATATTTGTTTTTGTCTTTTCGTATTATTCTATATTTTTTCATAAATGATAATTGAAAAAATACAACGAACGCCGAACGCCAAAAATTTAAATTCATTAATTTCGTTGGTGGGTATTCTTAGTAGTGTTTTAGACTTTGCTGAATAACTATAATTATCAAAACTGTGTTTGTCGTGGTTTATGTACATACATGAGGCTTAAAACGTATTTCATACAGATGAAGATTTTAACTTTTCATCAACGGGTGATTTAAAAGAAGACAAAAGTGGCCAGGCAACTGTTGTGTCGCGTAAACAGTCCTAGAACTCATATTTGCAGAAATGTACGGATTAGTGAACAAAACTAGAAAAGAACGCGTACGAACGTGTTTCTGAGAATAGAATGCGGAGTATGTCACGCCTAGAACGAAATTGTGCCTCGCTGGGAACCTTTCCTTGCAAGACTATAATCTTAACAGTACACGACTGGGTTATAGAAAAGTAGAACCTTACGTGGAGTGAATGTATTCAGAGACATCCTTCGGATAACAGCACTTAGTAGATCAATGAAAATCTCACATTAATTTAGTTAACAACTACGTAGTTACACGCGTTCAGCGTTCGCTATTATCCAAATTCGTTAGCGAAAAAATGATGATGTTCGCAGAAAATTTTGACCATACCACGCAAAAGAGCGTAAAAACTGCGTCAGATTCTGTTCTTCTTGTGATCAAGTCTATTTTCTGGTTAGCCACCTTTCTTTAAACAGTTCTCAAGGGTCACATTCTACATTCCGATCAAGATATTTTATTTTTTTTACTGGTTATTTTTAACACTTTCTCGAAATATCTTGACATTTTCTCTTACTCTGGACATACATAAGGTGGCCACATCCAGTGAAATAATCAGGTAAAGTCATGCTGGTCCACCATGATTTTCGTCCGTGCAGCGACGTGAACAACATTGTTTACAAGAAAAGTTTTCGGATACGAAAATTTCGCTCAAAAATTTGCGGAAGCGTTTTCATCGCTCGAGTTTTAGCTGCTGATATGCTATGTTCTATATCATCTTTGCACTACAAGTGCCCCATTAACTATTGTCCATCCAAAAAAAGAATGGTATATGACTGTTTTTTGAATAACTTTCGATAGGAAAAATTAGAATGAATTAATTTCCTTCGCTAAACCTGATCGTACAATCGAAAATTAGAAAAGGCATAGTTTTGGAGCTCGGTTTTTCAGAAATCCTTTTGTAAAACCGTAGGGTTTTGTGAGATTTCTTTTTAGATTTCCTATAAACAGGATAAAGAATAGCTTAAATACTCCACATTCTGAAATCTTGAAGTTGTTCTGATGTTTACTGAGTGATTAGCGAATTTTTTAATATTAGGTGAAAACAGCCTGAAAACACAAATTTTCGTAAAACTCGCTTGTCGGTAGAATTTTAAAACTTTTCTAAAAACAAATATTGCCACGAGACGCAGTGTGGTCCATTACGCATAGTTCATCCGTCTTGAAGGCTACCAATCGTCACTGGGTGCCAGTCCTGGGATTCGTAGGAAATCCGATACAACGCCCGAAGCGTGGAAAATCAAGGTCTCGCTTGACTCTC